TTATGGGATGTTGAAATTACAGAGTAAAATTCTGTGGTCTACATTATGAAAAAATTCAGAGTAGATGACAGTATAGCTGTTTCTAGCCTTAACATAATGAATTTATAAACATTACCATAAGAGTTCGCACAGTTAATAGTATGTGTCTTGTATTACTGCGTTACTTTCAAACATTTTCACATTACAGAAATTAATTTTTCTACCGCTTGATTGCAAACACAGATTTGTGGTGCAAGGAAGTAGATATAAGCTTGTTGAAACAAAACCAGCTAGTAACATGCCAATACTGACCACCATTTTGAAATGAAAGCTCACTAATCCAGGTGTTAGTTTATATAAAATGCCACCTGCTCAAAAAAAAAAAAAATACTTATAGGCTTTAGAATTATGGGATGAACTATATATAAACATGATAGCAACAAAAACAGACTTTGTGAATTTCTGCATACTTTTAATTATCTGTAAGACAGCTGCACGGGTTTGTATTCTTTTCTTCACACAAAAAAGACAGATATGATATCACATCCTCTTACTAGAGAGGTACATTTCAAATATATTGAAATCTCCATATTCTTATGGTACCAGTTGAGTGTACGTGGAAATACTGAGTTCATTGCTGCTGAGCTGATAATATACTGATTAAATAGTTGCATTATTACAAAGCAACATTCTATTCAAGCTATTTTTAACATTAAACTTCACTGCATCCTTTAACAACATGCAGTGTTCATGTTGTGAAGTGCAGTTATTGCTGAACCATGGCTGTTGGTTTCACGTTTAGTAAGTCCTACTGCTGAGTGAATAATTATCATGTTTGGCTAAATTATGGCTCTGTCATGTAGAAACGCGATTTGAATGATTTTCTTTTTCCTCATGTCCTCTTCTGAGCATAAATCCTTAATTGGTCTTTCATTAAGTCCCATTTCATACAAGTGTTTTCAAACCATTCAAAGGTATTTTGTTTACATGTAACAGTGGCAATGTGGAAAGACATATGGAAATATGTGTAAGCAATGACTTTTAAAAAAGAGGCAACAGCAATCTGTTAGACTGAGATGTATGTATAAAATCCCTATAAAGGTGTGCTATTATGGCTGTTTCAATGTTTAAGTAGAAGAAGAGAGAACTACCATGAAAACTTACTTCTCAAAAGGGCAACATTCAATTTCTGGCAAATTAAAGCTTCTATGTCTTTGAAACAACCAGTTTTCTTGACTCTGGATACAACATGCACCTGCAAGTGCTTAAATATCCCCAATTTTGTAGGTTATCATGTAATATTTGTTTTTCAAAATTAAATTTAAAAAGCACTTTTTTCTATGCCAACCAAATTCTTAAGCCAGATTGAGCCCTTTATGATTTAGATACCTGCCATAGCATGGAATCATGGGGTTGGAAGGGATTTCAAAGATCACCTGACCCAAACCCCAGTATACTAGGGGTGTTCATTTCTAGCACTAAAAATTTCTAGTGCTAGAAACCTTCTTAAGAGAGGGAGCATACAGGTGTTCCAGACTGCAGCTGACCTCTCTCTCCTGCTCTCTTCACCTCCCCCAAACAAGGTCACCTCAATGTGGGTAATGCACAGGGAGCCTTTCTTTGCCACTTCACTCTTCCCAGTCCCCAGGAGGCATCAAGAAACAAGGAAGGTGAGAAGCATACAGGTGAGAAGCTCCAATGCAGGGGAGATCTTCCTGGTTGAAAGACAAAGATCTTTTGCCTGAATCTAGCATGTTGCCTTTGGGAAACATTTCAAGAATACCTGTATACTCCCAATTCTAATTAGAGAGTGGCATCTCTCCCACTATTAATGTAGTGTTTGTCTATCCCCTAACTCTGTCATTTAACCTAAAGTTTGTAATGAATTAATTTGTAAAGTTCTATATTTATCGGGAAGAGAGAGATTTTAGGCCTCTCTGGTATAAAATATCACACACAGTTCCCTTAACTTCAGTGGAGGTACATCCCTAATGGTCTGAACTGTTTGTTTCATGTCTATATTATCTATAATATTTTAATCAGAGTAGTATGCTAACCCCTGTGTTTTAACGGAGAAATTAGCTAGCAGAGTAAGTTTCCTCAATATTCATAGCTATAAAGCTTTCCTGCAGTACTTACCTCATATAGCAAAGTGACATCATGGAATGCAGGGCTGGAAAGGACCTCACAAGATCATCTAATTTATCCCCCTGCTCAAGGCAAGATCATCCCTCAGAGCAAACCATACCAAACAAACATTTATCTAACCTATCTTGAAAACTCCCAAGGATGGAAATTCCACAATTTCTCTACAAAGCCTGTCTCAATGCTTGACCACTCTCATAGTCAGAAAGTTCCTTCTAATCTCCAACCTAAATTTTCCCTCAAGATGTAGTTTCTCCTAGTCCTATCCCCTTTGGCCAAAGAGAAAAGCCCATCTCCATCCTCTCTGTAATGGCCCTTCAGGTATTTTTAGAACAGAATGAAGATGGCCATTTTTAGTACTTCTAAAGTCATTTAGCAGCTGGGAATAGGGAGGAACTAAAAACATCATGGGAACAGTAAGCTCTTTAAGAACCACCAGGAAGTGCTGCAGAGAACCACAAATGACCTGAAAACCAGTGTTTTTGGGCACCATGTTTAAGTCCTATTTGGAGTACCAAGCAGGGACATGGAAATCTGTGTTAAGTTATGGCAGCAGTAATGACCTGCCATGGGAAGAGCTAGGATCTGAGCGCAACGTGCTATTTATGGCCAGAGGCAGGGATCTTAGAGGGGTCCCTGCTGGCTTTCCACCACCTGGGGATATCCCTATGCAAGGGGAATTCATACCTGGATGTTTAGGGTGGCCTTCCATCCCTTCTAGTAGAGGGGCACAAGAGAGTGGGAGGGGCAGGAAGAACTGACTAGGTTCTGGCCTTTGGTTTTTAGAAAACATACATGTCAAGGACTTGACTTCAAACTAGGCAGTAGAAGTAAGAAACAGACAACAAAAAAATGGGGTATTTAGAGAACTTGTAATATTATAGAATTTGTATTTAATTGACTGACGTCAAACTTTAATTACTATATCAAAACAACCTTATAGGTAGGAATAATAATTATCCCTTTTTATATAAGGGAAGCTAAGCATAGAAAAAAATTAAATGACTTGTCCAGGTTCACACAGCAAGTTAATGCAGGAACCAGAATTACAATTCTAAAATGCTAAACAGAGTAAGCCTTTTACACCTAATATATTGAAGGGCAAATAGTACTTTTGTTGAAATAGCAATAACATATTTTTCTGTTCAATGCTCATGGACAATCACAGTTCTCAAGTGGCAACTAAAAGAAATGAACCCACACTTACCCTTGTATGAGTACGAATGTGCATCTTTAATCCATCATTCTTGCTGAAAGCTTTGTCACAGTAAGGGCACTGGTAGGGACGCTCACCTGAAAATAAGATAAGCATTAAAATCCACAAATATGGGCTGGTGAAAGGAAGAACTGCCTTAGTACATCAAGTTTTCACAGCACGGGTTATCTATCAAAAGGAGGCACATTTTTCTGGCCTAATGTTCACGTTCAGTTCAGACAGAAACCAAGAGATCTGAGCACTGAGGAAACCACAGAGAAAGGACAAAAGATTGGTTGGGGCATCGTTTGAGCTGGATTGAGATAGCATTTTTAGCTGCTTGATTTTTTCTTTAAACAATACAAATGTATAGAGAAAGATTATTTCTTTAAACCCTGTGGTCCTGTAACATCTCTGTCGGCATGAATTCTACCATAGTTAGTATATGGTCACTTTTATGGTCAGTCAGTAGCAAGAGAGAATTTCCTCATTTCATCACTTGAGCCATCTCGGTCTCACCATGCATTTTAATTAGAAAACCTACTCCTATTGCTTCTATTCATTTAACTAAATATATTATAGTAAAATTTGCTCCACTACAGTTTCAACAACTTTTGTGACATGCCTAGTGACTTACTGGATGTATCAGCACCTCACATCAAGCTCACTCAGCCTCTCACATTCTGTACCTCATAGATTAGCCTCTTAAAATCAGCATAAGTCAGGATGGTTTCTGTTCATTCTCATTTAAGTTACTCCTATTACCACTAGTGCAGTGGTCTCCAACCTTTTTAAGTAGGAGATCATCTTTGGCATTTAAAAGCAACCCAAGATCTACTGTACGCTGCCGCCACCCCCTCCCCCCC